ACTTTTCCGACGCTGTGTGGCAAATTTTAATAGCAGGTACCCCTTGATTGGAGGGGGGGGTTAAGATAAAGGCAGACTGGGCGAGATCCAGAGTCCTATCGCGTTCGACGGTAAGCATTGTATTTATGTAAGTATGGATATCAGAAGAAACATACCACACAGTGGCAAGCAACCATAGCGGTCTTCATCCCCGCCTCTCCGGGATACAATTCGAAGAACAGTATACATTGGACGGCGACAATCCTGCTGAGCCTGAAAAACACCGTGGGTTGAGGGCGGTTATTAGAGAGAGAGATGGAGAATACGGGGTTCAGCTACAGCGGGAACGCAGTGAATGGGAGCAGTATAGGGAGTGAATTTGGGGCGAATGTAAGCACCAGAAGTGGATTTCGTCAATTCTAATCTTGTTTTGACACCTTCTTGGGCTTCCCGACCCTCAAAAAAAATAGGATTTTTTCAACTAGGTTCTAAGAGCATTTTCAGAGTCATCTGAGCAAATTCCGAAAAGTGAAATAAGGTCTATCGGAGGGTACCTGTGACGGAGAGCTGAAAGCTAGTCCGGCACACGAGGTTTTGAGGTGGTCAATCCGAGAGTAACTGGCGTAAGTGTAAGATTAACCGAGGAATCTGATCTACGCTACAGGCTTTTATAATGAATCAAGGTTTGTACGTATTTGAGTGATTGTAGAGATGGTTGATATGTAGAGATGAAACGGAGTCAACGAGCGTGGGCGTCTGCAAGATACAGAGTGAACGGTGGGTATAGGAACGAATGTGGCGCCGCGTCGGCGTAAAGAAAGAAACTGGTAACAAGTTAATAAGTAAAGTTGGACGAGATGGGATAGGGGGTTGAAAGAAATATAAGTCCGTTACAGTACCTAACCTCTGACCCTGTGTCTCGACATCTTCTGGCGGGTACCCCTTGACCGGGACACCACGTCGCTCATTTTCGAGGTGCGTGTGGAGCTACCAATGGTTATATTTCTTACCTCTTTCCACAGACGTGAACGCATTTATTACATTGCAGGCCCATAAAGGGCTTGGGCTCAGTGGGCTTATGCCGAAATGAGTTTTCCAGCCCCGGCATTTCCTCCTGAAATTGGGGACTCCATCATCGGTCACCTCCAATTTACTCCTCCGGCTCACAGAGCCTGCAGCCTAGTATGGCAGCCGACACCGACTCTCTCTCTCCGTGGAGACGATGTCAACAATTTTCTCCAGCTCGTGGCCTCTCCCTAGAACACCTACGTCGACACCGTTCAGGCGATCTCCATCGTATTTTGCCGGAATCATATGCATCACATGGACTTTCTACTTGCTCGCCTCGCTGGCGTCCCCCGCTTGAAAACCATCGTAATCAAATCCAGCGTATTATCCACTGAATCTGGGCCTATTATACCCGGCATTGTTTCGCTCTCAATGGATGGCGCGTTTTTCCTTTCCTTTTCTGCGTTGACCATTCTATTATCGAGGTTCCCGGGCTTGAAAAATCTGGAGTTGGGAAATAATGGATGGGATTTCGAGGCTGAATCTCAGCTCGCGAGAAATGCGGAAACCTAGAACATGCGACAGCAAGTAGACAGTAGAGCGTCGCTTTATTTCCTCAGCTTATGAGTAGAGAGCTCGGTATATGATATTACATTCCAGTCGCCACTCTCACGTGCGTGTATAACGAGATGTGTCCGCAGATTAACGAGATGACCTACAGATTGACTAGATGGATGATCAATGGATGATAGACCCGATTAACGACATGGTGCACGCTGCTGCATCGCAGCCATTAATAGAAATGATACCCTGCATTGCAGCCGCCGACCTGACATTAAATCGCGGGGCGCTGTTGGCCCTTAGGCGGCGCAATGAATAAGCCTGTCACGGTGAACGACTGCATCCGGGCTCAGGAACGACTGCATCCACGATCTCAGAGCCTTGGTGAGGAAAGAGCGCAGCCGCACATCCATAATACCCAATCCAAACACATGAATTCGTTTACCGCCCGCTCATTACCTAGTACAACAAGTAACGTATCTATGCCTTGCACGATATGATACTGCAAGTAAGCTCATGGACCAGCACTCGATCCGCTGCCCTGCCGCGGATCCCCACCAAGAAACCCAGAAACCAAACAAAGGAAATGCCGAAACCGAAACAGTTTACGCCCATAAAGGAACGCTCACTCCTCCCGAACGAACACCCCGCGTCCAAACTTGGCCGAGACGACGCTGCGGGGGCCCTTCTTCGCGGGCGCAGCGGGTGCCTTGGGCGCGGGCTTCGCAGGAGGCGCAGGGGCCTTGGGAGCGGGCTTGGGAGCGGGCTTCGCGGGAGGGGCAGGCGCCTTGGCAGCAGGCTTCGCAGGAGGGGCAGGAGCCTTGGCGGGCGCCTTCGCGGGGAGAGCGGGCTTCGCAGGTGCAGCGGGTTTCTTCGCAGCGGCGGCCTTGGCAGCAGCGGCCTTAGCGGCGGCAGCTTTAGCGGCGGCGGCCTTGGCAGCGGTGGCTTTGGCGGCGGCGGCTTTAGCAGCAGCAGCTTTGGCGGCGGCGGCCTTCGCAGCAGCAGCGGCGGCGGCACCGCCCTTGCCCCCATTGCCGGCGGCGGCAGCGGCAGTGGTCTTGGCGGCGGCGGCGGCGGCGGAGGTAGTCGTAACAGCAGCGGCGCCCCCGCCGGCGTTGTTCCCTGCACCCGCAGCGGCGTTGTTACCTCCAGCAGCAGCAGCGGCGGCGAGGGGGAAGGAGCCGGTGGTGCTGAGGACGGTGTCGATGTCGTCGGCTACGACCGCTTGCAGCTTGTACGTGCCCGGGGGGATGTTGCCGAGGCCGACGCTGGTCTTGAGGGTCGTGGGGTCGATGCCGGTGGCGACGTCGAAGGACTCGGTCGCGCCGACGAGGAGGAGGGAGAATTTGCTAGGTTGACGCGTAAGGATTATAACAAAAAGATAGGAGAAGAGGGAAGGGACGCACGGGTCGGTGGGAGCGGTGGCCCAGGTGACGGCAAGCACGCTGTCCGCGGCGGCGTTCGTGGGCGTGTTCAACGTGAGGCTCTTGACAGCAGCAGCACCAGTACCCGCGGCAGCACCCCCGCCGGCCGCAGCGTTATTACCCCCACCCGCAGCCGGCGGGGGGGCGGCAGCGACGGCGCCTGCGGCGGCGAGGTTGAAGGAGCCCGTGGTGTCGACGACGGTGTCGATGTCGTCTGCGACTACTGCTTGGAGCTTATAGGAACTATATACGCAAAAGAACGAGAATTAACGAATGATATGTGTTAATTGGCCATGGGACGCACCCGGGGGGAATGTTCCCGAGGCCGACGCTGCTCTTGAGGGTCGTGGGGTCGATACCGGTGGCAACGTCGAAGGACTCGGTCTTGCCGACGAGGAGGAGGGAGAATTTGCTGGTAAGGATTATAATATTAATAAAAACGAGAGGAAAGAGATAGGAAAAAGAGACGCACGGGTCGGTCTTGACCGTGGTCCAGGTGACGGCGAGCACGCTGTCCGCGGCGGCGTTCGTGGGCGTGTCCAGGGTGAGCCCCATCACGGATGGGAGCACACAGGCGAAAAGAATGCTATAATCGCAAGAAAAAATATCTTTAGCCTCTGTCCCTCCGGTGTAGGGAGACGGAATGAGAGACGCACCTGGCGGCGACGAAAACCATAGTGTATAAAAGATTGGAAGGGAAACGAGAGACTTGCTCGTAAGAATAGTGGCGGGAACGAAAGAACGAAAGACGACGGACACGGGGCTTTAGCGCGTCGACAGTCTTTATATATAGGAGCGACCGCTGGCAACCGTGATCATAATCTGCTCGCACCCCTGGAAATGATGGGTTCCATGCGGTCGGCGCGATTTGGGGTTCCCTTCTACATTTTCCGCTACATTCTGAGGCTGAAGCTGGTTTTATGCAGGATTTGTTGGGTGGATTTACAGAGTTGAGAGGAGCGGGCTGCGGGGAATTGCAAGTGGATATGTGGAATTCCAGGGGAACGGTATAGAAGGCGGTGATAAGACAGGGGACAGCAGCCCGTTGATGGTGGATGCCAAGAGCAAATCAAATCCGGTCTCGGTGTCCCGATGTGATCCGTGCCATGCGTGAGAAGAGGATCCTCGGTCAGAACGGGTTACTCCGTCATCGCTTCATTAACCACGAGACTTACGCCGTCCAGTTTATCGCCAGCAAGAGGGCCTCCTGTACACCTCAGTTAGTGCATCACCGCCCCCGTCTGATGTGGCGGCAAATTACTTAACGTCCCACAATATGTATCCTTGCGCCGGTGCGCATTAGTTCCGCACGACGACGACTTTACCGCATTAAAGTAGATTCAAGTCTATTTTAAACACCGTCAGGGCATCCGAAACGCCAACATCGTGATTGACATCATGATACACAGTTTGCTGTCACCGACTGATGAAGACTTACTGCAAAGCCGGGTGTATGATACGTGCGTGTGAGTGATTACGTAACCCAGTGCGCAGGTAATACGGTCCGGTCCGCATTTCGTGTGCTAGAAAAGTTGACTTGCAGGAGGTACTCGTTCGACTCGAGCCCAGGCCCCTACTAGAGTCATAATTATGTACAACATAAGTCTCGTTGGTTAGTAAGTTATCATTCGTTCCTCAGAGAACTTTGCTCCTCGTTCGACTCGGCCAATGCCGTCCTATCGAACCTTATTCAGGTTCACACCCACCAAAGAAAGGCCCGGTGGCGGATAGCCCGCGTCGTGATTCGTATATATCCACCAGCTAGAGGATAATTCGGCAGGAACACTCGTTCGATCTGAGCCCGGGCCCTGGGCCCAACGCTCAGCCATAATAATAATTTTTGTTGTTTTAACATTCATGAATACTAATGCATGATGAATTCACAGGGCCGCGCAAAATTTGGTTTCGGTGTACAACATATCGTTGGTTGGGAAGTTATGACTCGTTCCTCATTGGATTTTGATCCTCGTTCCACTCGTCCGATCCAGGCTTACATCCACATATTCAGGTTCACATCAACCCAAGAAAGGCCCGGTCGCGGATGGTCCGCGCCCGTGATTCGTAGGCATTTATGAATGGTAACCTTGTACGAGAGCCGCTCGTTCGATTCGAGCCCGGGCCATAATTCTGAAATGGCATGTTTCTTTTTTTGCATCCGCGCAAGGGAACTTGAATGTGAATGCTGCTGATGTATCCTCGCAGGCGATGGGAAAACGTTCAACTCGGAGAGTGCCCACTGGCAGATCGTGGGTGGTATGATCCGTTAATCAGAGACCCGTTTGACAAAGACATGCTGTCGCATTCACGTTCACATCCACCCAGGAAAGGCATGGTAGCGGATGGTCCGTGCCTGCAAACAGTCAAGACTTTGAGGAGAAGACTTTCTGCAGGACCAGACAGATACAACTATGAGGCTTGGAATGGCGCGGCGCAAATCCAAGATTACATACACGTTAACTTTAAATATCCCTGAACCCTAGCACTAACTACTAACACTAACCAGTAATGTTTAACCATAAATCTTTAACCAATCCTCTAACCAATCCATACGGCCCTCCGGGCACCCCTGATACCTCTACAGCCGACCTGTACTTGTACCCTGTTTAATTCAACGCTCACCAGACACCAGTTGACGAATTACTAGCTCGTTCTGATCAATGCCTTACTTATATATTCGGACAGCGGTGTCCACTCCGTGTTCTTTCCTCTAGGTAGAGTTGCATAGCTCCATTCGTTTCAACTCAACTTGAATATACTTCGCCTGGGCACCCAGACCACGCACTCACAAGACTGGAGGAAATTTTTAATTCAGAAGTCGTTTCATGCTCAGTTTCTTGCTGAATAAAACCTGTGTTTTGCTATAGTTGATTGCAACTGGGCCGGCGAGGAAAATACGGAATTCAAGAGACATGCAAAAAGTAGAATACTTTACTCAATAGTGGACCGCCGCCTTGGATTTGAAGGGTGGGAGAACACGTGACCCGGTAACTAGATAATGTCCGTCGTGATCGAGACGTGTTTCATCTCTTCATATTTACGAAGAGTAAACCTGGTCCCTATGTCGGTATCAGGAAAACCTGTAAGCAGAGCAACTAACCACTAACCACAATCACAAACCTATGCTGCCAAAGTCGTGCCTCCAAATCCAACAAGCGATCGTCCGCTGGGAACAAGTTGGACAACTGAACAAAAACGATAAAGGCATCGGTTTAAGTGCGGAAATCATACGCTACTGGAGACCTGTGCGCGCTGTGGATTTGTCCGAAAGAACTACCGTACACGTTATGAGGACCTGCCGCGGGGAAAGTACCATCATACTGTGGCACAGTTGACGAATATAGTCCAACTCCGGTGGGCGGGTGGATCATCCCAGGATGCCTTTCTTCCAAGACATCCATCTCTCTTCGAACTGATCGAATTCCGTCAAGTGCCAGTCAAGCTCTGGCTTGCTGTTCTCCCGATGATGCTCGAACCGAGCTATCAAATCGTGTGGAGGTTTCGGGAATGTCTAGGATCTTATGGATAAATGTGTATAACACCCGAAAGAGTCAAGATTACCTTGAGCCATTGCACTATGTTATGGAAATCATATCGTTCACTCTGGTCAAAAAGATGTGTCTCGGCCGAAGAAGATTCTAGTTCCCGCAGGTCTCGTAACACGTCCTCGCAAGGTGGGCATGCTCGGAGAATACAACCCCATCTGTATGTCACAATCGTACTATATGCTGTATTAGAACATACTACCAGTGACATGAAATGAAACTTACCAGAAATTCCAGGCCAATTTGTGATTAAGCACAGACCCCATGACACGCAAATGTCCGCGGGAAAGGTCCCGGAATATTGAGGCGGGCTTCGGACAGACGCTGGGATCTGATGCGTAAATGAAGAGTTCATCCAGCCTCTCCAGCTTCCCTTTGTATTTGTCCATGATGTTACGTAGAGGACAGATAGATTTCCTGAGTTCGTCCCATGAAAAATCCAGGAGGAAACGAATTCTGATCAAATGCGAGGAGTCCCGGATACTACTACCGGTAATTGTGTATGCATGAAGAATTTTGAGAAGCTGAGAGGGGACCTGCAATACAATTTCGCCGCACTCGTGTTCGTCGAATGTGAGGGGGTTCCACTTATTGTATGCCGTTGAACTCCAAACGTGGTCAGACCGCAGCATAAAAGCGTAGTCCTCCCAAAGTTCGAGTAAATCTTGGGGACGCGGGCGAAATTTCTAGAGTCAAGTCAGCTTTATGATTGTTCACTCTTTTGAAGGAATACCTCTAACCACCCTAAAACACTATTCACAACCGTATGAACTTCCGTTTCAGCTGGCCGGTGACCGCCCACTCCACGTTGTAGAAGACTAAACAGGAAATCCGGGTTCAAAGATTGTAGCAGAGGCACAAGGTCCGGAGATGGCTGGAGAGAGATTATATATTTGAATGTGTCCTGGCCAAAATGCCTAAAACAATATTCAGCGACATGTCACCCTCGAATTATAAGACGAACTTACCGGGCAACGGGTCCATGTTCACTATCATTTATGGCAGGATCCCCGTACCTGTACGAAGCTGCCTTTAGGATTTTTCGAGCCAAATCCCTGCGGTGATGGGAATCAATAAAGAAGAGGCCTGAACGTGTGGAATCATTGAGGAAATCGAGGAATGAAGCATGGTGGACCGTGACGATATCGCTGTCGTCAAAAATGTGAGAAGCGCTGATTTTGACCAAAGAGTGCAGGCCACGCAAGGCTAATTCAACGTCACCAGATTCCAGCTCAAGGAGCTGCTCAATGCAATGGACTGTGATATGGAATTTCGCCGCAATCACAGTAAGAATTCGGAGAATTCGAGGCCATCCGGGAACGGCGGAGAGGATTTGAGTGTACAGCTGATCGAGCGCAACAAGAGGTGATTCAAGATCGGGTTCAGCAAGGCCCATAATAATGTCGAGACGGTCTGTGGGGCGGAAGTTTTTGTCGTCGATGAATTTGATGACTGTGGATGCGTAGATGAAATATCCCGAGGAGTTCTGGACCAGATGTTCAATGATTACTTCTGTCGGCCAGGGATCAGATACCCGGGCCATAGTTGTATGGTGTTCTCGATGAATTCGTGTGAATTCATGGTATAGATATCTTCGGACGTCCTCGAATGATTGCTGAATATTCACTGCCCAGTGGAGCTTGTCCAAGGGAGACGCGTGGAACATTTCAGAAATGTGAGACTCCGGTCGGCTGGAGATGAGGAACCGAATAGGAAGGTTCGTGCCATGGATGGCACAGCAAATTGAGCGCAAAATCTCCTGTTGAACATGCTGGCCATCGCATTCGTCCAGTCCGTCGATGATGATAACCGCACAGGGAGTAGGAATAAGTTTCTGCCACGGTTCGATGATAAGCTTTTGCAGCTGAATTGACAATGATTTATGCACAATTGCTGGATCGTTCTCCACGCTCTGGGAGATGAAATGTTTCACCCCAGGGAGGAGTACGGCAAGCTGATATGCAATAGTCGAGAAAAGCCGGTTGGCATTTCCACGCGACGCATGCCCACGCTTGAAGAAGAAGCTGGCGGCGACGGAACTTTCTGCCTCTAGGATTTGGCACAGAGTCTGTGCGATGGCAGATTTCCCAGCACCGGCCGGTCCATACAACCAAAGAATATTGCTTGCAGAATTGCCTGCGAAGAACGAGTGGGCATCTCGAGACCATTCATAGTCCTCGAAATCAACCAACGGCTCGATTCCACAGGTCCAATTCCACAGATTATCGAGGATTTCCGTGCGAGTTTCGGGATGGCACTTGGGCTGTGGATATCTCTCCGCAGAGTTGTGTAAAGCGTCGGCCGCAGAGGCACGATACAACAATTGCAGGCCTTGTCGAGTTTCCATTAAGCACAATGCCAATATGTACATGTTTCTTTTACTCACCTGTTTTGCCACTACGCTGGACGTGGTTACTAATGAATGTACTACCGTAGATTTTGGTCGCTGGCCCATCTGGAGGACGATCCCAAACGACGTCCGGGCGACCGATTAAATCGGTATTTGGCTCTGGCCACTGTTCACCATTATCGCCAGGGAACGGATAATTGGATCCCTTCGGTGTGCCGTAGTGCGGCTCAAAGTGGCTCGGCTGGTATGTAATTGCCCTGTTGGGTGCACCGGGGTAAAAGCCGTGATGATCGGTGAAATATCGTGAGCGAGATCCGTCGTCAACCACGCCGAATAATGGCTCGAATCCGGTGCTAGACCATGGCTCAAACACATTTTGGAATAGACAAGAATCGGGGAACGACGCAGAGGAAGGGTGAGTGTAAGCAAATGGCGGATGGACATGCTCTGGTGTGATGTTTGACAAGGGCTCGAAGGAATATTGACCGGTGATATATGAGGCCGCACGGGGACCTCGTGAATCGGGAATATACTCTTCCTCGGAACCAAAAGGATCAAAGCGGAATCCGGGTTGCGCTTGTGAAAATGAGTAGGAGAGAGGATTCGGCGGTAAAAGAAGGGGTGCACTGGAAGTAGGCATGGACGCCGGTGATGATGGCTGCGGAAATGGCTGTGGGACCGGATTCGATAGGGATGGAAGGGATGAGTTCAACGTGGACATGGACCATGGATCCGGATGGAGGTGAGAGGGATATAGGTTATGTGAACAACCTGCTATTTGTGGCCAGGGAGAATCATCTTCGGCTGCTTCAGATGCATATCAATCCGAATGAGATTTACACGCACCGTGTGGTAGCATCCTCGCCCCTCCTGCATGATGCCCATCATTTCCTTCTGAGCCTTCCAGCTGATGCCTGAGTCCTCCATTGGAGCGAAATTGCAGAGCCGCCGTTCTGTCGTGCTGGCCGATGGGCGGCGCGCTGTGAACATTTACATCACCTCCGATATCGTAGAAATTGGAATCCTTGATTAGGACTCCGGTGCTGGACTCAAAGAACGGCATGAATGCCACAGGGATTGAGGGAGCCGACAGCCGCTATGAGGGGGGGGACAAGAGGGAGTGGGAAGAGAAGAAAGGAAAGAATAGACTCGAATGCGGTACCAGGCACAGCATTAATGATTGCTCGCCATGGCGAAGGCGGTTATTTCGGATCGGGTGCCAATACCTGT